ATTGATATGGTGTACCTAACATTTTTGAGCACCTAAATTTTTTAGGTTGGGTGCACCTATTCCCCAAAACGAATTTCGAGCCCTGCTCTCCTTGAAAGTTTTGAGTCTCTGGTCCCATCATGTACCAGTACTTAATGAGTTGGTATTTTGGACCTGTAACTAAATTTGTATTCCTTTTAACTTTTGATAAACCTGCTCTAAGTAATCTCACAGCCGCATATATCCATACAACCACTACTAAGCGAGATGAAGCCGAAAATAATAGAAATTAGACATTTATTTACGCTCTTATATGTTCATTTGTATGTAATGTATATGTATATGTTTATGTTTATGTTTATGTTCTGTACCCATGCGACCTGTACTTAGTTCTGTAGAACACAAATGTACAATAAAGGTCTTCATTCTATTCTATTAATCAATTTTCACAGTACAGTACTTCTTTGCAACCCTACTAGTAGACAACCCCAGTCATGATTGAAGGATGCATATCAGCCTGCAGCGAGGTCATGAGTCTAGAGTTAACAATCAAAAAGTACAAAAGCAATGTACTTGAAGTTGCAATTCTTACAACTGGTAAATACATTGACAGTTGGTCTGGCAGTGCATCAGAGGGCCTGAAAATAGGCTGAAAAACATTAGTTGAACATTTCGACACGGAATAACAGGGCATTAGATGATTTACAAGTATTGACATAAAAATCACTGCTACAGATGGCAAACGTATCGTCAGGAATACCTAAAACATTCTGCTGCAAAACTCCAAACATCGGCATCATTAAATTGTAACCTCCGGTAGCGCCCGCGCTAGCCGGATTTTAATAGTGAAGAGCGTTTCTTCGTCCGTACTTCATCCGTACTAGCAACATATATATGCATTTCCGCTACAAATTACTAGTTTATATCACGCCAAAACTACATCAAAACATGTAAAGAAGCGTCATCTTATCTCTCATACACGAGACAAATTTTGAAAAATATTTGGCTGTATCGTAGCTTTCATTGCTGTTTCATTCAACAAACGTGCTCCTTGATTGTAAAATGATCACTCATCTGTTGTCTCCAATACAGTGTCAAATGGTAGCGTGATCGTAGCGTGAGAAAAATCAGCGTTAAAAGTAAAAAAATCGCCGGAAAAATAAACTTGCAGCACACATTATCGACCTCGCTGTAGAAGATAACACGCACCATTTTTTTCATTAATATGTAAGTAGCAGAGTGCACTCTACGCTCTGATTGGTTGACCTCATATGACCTGCGCTCTGATTGGATAGAGCCAACTTTGCCGGCAGAACTGCGGAATTTGTTTGTAGGCGAAGAGTGTTACACTGCCGTACTTTCTACGTGTTCCTACCACTACTTAGTAACATTACATTAAAGAAATTCATTATTAAGAATTTTTGGGAAAATGTATGTATCCATATGCCGATTTGTGGTGCCTTTCGCGTATCCATGGAAGCTGGAAGTGTCAGCGAACCGCGATGCAACCCGCCCGCTACAAGACCATCAAAAACATAACTCCCAACAAAACTCCCACAATGTAACTCCCAAAAGAGAATTTTCACATCCGAAAAAAATTTTATTGGAGGAAATATGTTTGTGGATACATTTTACCGGATGGAGAATTGAAAAACGGGTTTTAATGAGATTAAAGTATGCAAAATGCGCCGACATCAATTGTTCGTCTGCATATAACAATAGCAAAACAAACAATGTGTGTCTTTCCTGCCTTGGACGGCGTCCCCGTCTACAGCCACATAACAAAGAATGTCAATTTCTCTAATTTTCCGAGTCTCGGCATTTTTTACGAAGACGGCCTCTGTCCGAGTTCAGGCCATCCAAAACGACAGCTGCTGGTGAGCGTACCAAAACATTACTGAAACGTCCATAACGTAGTCTAGAGGAGCATAAAATAGAGGGCTTAGACCGCATAACATTAGTGAACCTCCCCTGACACGGAGTAGCATTGCATCAAATAGTGAGCCTACAAAGCATTAGTGAACCACCCCTGACACAGTTCGGCTAGCCAAGGACATTATACAGTATAATGTCCTTGGTCTATAATGTCCTTGGTACCCTACCAAAACATTAGTGAACCGACCCTGGCCCTTTCACAATCATACCTGATGGAAACCAGATGTTGGTGGGGTGGGGGATAAGTCACGATTCCGAACATTTTCGAGGTTATAACTTATATATATATCCCTAATGCTACAAACGGACTAGAAAGGATCATGTTTACGTGTTGTTCGAGAAGCACTTTGTTTGCGAGGGTCTATCAAAACTGTATCAATTCAAATCGTCACATGTGCACAAAACTTCACACGCCATAATTTCGATCACAACACACCACGACGTTTTTTGGTCTATTCTACTGTTGCAGCTTTTCCTACGTACCTGAAACGGATCTCAGATGAAAACTGAGTGGCCTTGATGCTGAATCGGGTACCTGATTTGTCCGAAAATACCGCCGTGGATCACACAAAGCTGCGAACTCACGAAGCCTTCAGTCTCTGAGCTGCTGATGACATCGTCTCGCCTGTCAAACTGAACTTCTCGCGACCGCAGAACACAGATATTCATCCGCGGTTCAAGATCCCAGGGAAGTAAAAAAAAGGAGTCCGGATACAGAATTACAAAATCATGGATGATTAAAATTTTGCAATGTGGCCGATATCTCTTTAGATATGCTAACGTTTATGTAAACTGGGTTAACTAGTAGTTAAATCTTGTTTCTTGTCCGACATCTGTTGTTTCTATGATTTCAGAGTATTACTTAGTATATAAAAGAGGCTGCAGTACAGTTCACCATCGCGTGAGGTCATGATGTCAAAATACCGGGCATACCGAGAAGACAGGTCAGTATTTGCTAGCCAAGGCAGAATATTTCTCTCCAAAACTGTTTTCCCCATAATTTTCTTTGTGAAATTTATCCAAGCAACCATTCATAAGAACTTTAAATAATGTCAACTGTGTGCTATTTATTTTGTCTGAGTCTGACGCTTCCCTCATGACTTAAAAAAGTGCCTGCAGGCCAATTTGAACTTCCCATCATTGAAGATAGTAATAAATAGTTTTAAAAGAACATCCAATCCTAGACAGTTGGTATTGCAGATCATCAAACACAGGGCCTGCAAAACACAAGTGAGTTGCCCCTGACATAGGAGGGCATGAAATAGAGGACCTGCAAACCATTAGTTTAATAGTTCGATTTCCCTGACACAGTTGCTCTACAATTAGTGAATCTCCCCTGCCACAGTTGGTCTTGCAGATCATCAAAGACCGAGCCTACAAAACATTACCGAACCTCCCCCTGGCACAGTCTTGCAGAGCATCAAACACAGAGCCTACTGAACATTACCGAACCTCCCCCTGACATAGTCTTGCAGAGCATCAAACACAGAGCCTACTAAACATTACCGAACCTCCTCCTGACACAGTCTTGCAGAGCATCAAACACAGGGCCTACTAAACATTAGCGAACCTCCCCCTGACACAGTTGGTCTTGCAGAGCATCAAACACAGGGCCTACAAAACATTAGCGAACCTCCCCCTGACACAGTTGGTCTTGCAGAGCATGAAACACAGGGCCTACGAAACATTAGCGAACCTCCCCTAACATAGTTGGTCTTGCAGAGCATCAAACACAGGGCCTACGAAACATTAGCGAACCTCCCCCTGACACAGTTGGTCTTGCAGAGCATGAAACACAGGGCCTACGAAACATTAGCGAACCTCCCCTAACACAGTTGGTCTTGCAGAGCATCAAACACAGGGCCTACGAAACATTAGCGAACCTCCCCTAACATAGTTGGTCTTGCAGAGCATCAAACACAGGGCCTACGAAACATTAGCGAACCTCCCCTAACACAGTTGGTCTTGCAGAGCATTAAACACAGGGCCTATGAAACATTAGCGAACCTCCCCTAACATAGTTGGTCTTGCAGAGCATCAAACACAGGGCCTACAAACATTAACGAACCTCCCCCTGACACAGTTGTTCTTGCAGAGCATCAAACACAGGGCCTACGAAACATTAGTGAACCTCCCCTATTAGTTGGTCATGCAGAGCATCAAACACAGAGCCTACAAAACATTACCGAACCTCCCCTGACACAGTTGGTCTTGCCGAGCATCAAACGCATGGCCTACAAAACAATAGCGAACCTCCCCCTGACACAGTTGGTCTTGCAGAGCATCAAACACAGGGCCTACAAAACATTAGCGAACCTCCCCCTGACACAGTTGGTCTTGCAGAGCATCAAACACAGGGTCTACAAAACATTAGCGAACCTCCCCCTGACACAGTTGGTCTTGCAGAGCATCAAACACAGGGCCTACAAAACATTAGCGAACCTCCCCCTGACACAGTCGGTCTTGCAAAGCATGAACCACATGGCCTACAAAACATTAGCGAACCTCCCCTGACACAGTCAGTCTTGCAAAGCATGAACCACATGGCCTACAAAACATTAGCGAACCTCCCCTGACACAGTCGGTCTAGGTAGCGAATTTATTAGTGGGTCTGCAAAGGATTAGTGAACCTCCCCCTGAAAAATACTGCGGATAGAGAGTTAGAAAAATCAAAGATGATTATCCGATCATGAGTTGTGCATTGAGACGTCTATTCAAATGTCCATAAAGGTGACGTTTCGATAGTACAATTTTCTTTCTTGTCAGCCATGTGTTGTGTCTATTAAAATTTAAATATTTGTGATAAAAGCGGCTGCAGTACCTTTGACCACCGCATGAGGTGATGTTAAAATACCACCCAAAAACCAACATGACGGCGATTTAGTATTGGCCTCACAGAATACATACTTCTCAAACGTTAACGCCCAGCGATTGGTCCATACAGAATACTTTCTTCTCAAAAGCCCTGCGATTAGTCCTTATATAATAATTGGTTCGCCCGTTAATTGCAGTGAATAAGGCTTGATTTGGAATGTATTTTCTTCGTGAAATTCATAATAATGATAATTAGTCTTTTTTTTCTCCTTCTCTCAAGGCAAGTAGTGGTCAATTTTTATCTTCCCTACAGTAGCAATACTTTCGAAGTTCTGGATTCGTGTTCAGGACACAGTCGCTTTGGTGTCCATACTTGTTAATTCTACTGATGTCTGAAGTAACAGTCATGGAGTCGTTTCCGAGCTTTTCCGTGATATGAACAGTCGCTTCAAACAGTGCCAGTCCCGGCGTGGTCTCTACTGTGATCTGTACATCTCTATACGTGATGCCGTTTTGGTTATCTGGTTCAGCCGCCTCGGCATGGGTCACGTTTACAATCGACAGTTGGTGGCACAGACTCATGTAGGGCTTGATGAGGGCGTTGATGTGTGCAACCAAGAACTTGGCAACCTTCGTGGCGACACTGCCCTCTGGCGGAATAGATTTCCACTGCAGACAGGCGCACCAGTGCGTCTCAATCCCCGCGTCTTGACAAGTCCGGTTGGCGGGAATTTTTGTGAAGAGACTGATCGCCCGAGGTAGACCGTTAGGCGCCGGTAGGTGCGAATCTTTGTGCCCTATAACGTCAGCTAACGTAGCGTACATGTCAAACGGTGTGGTCAACCTGTCCGAATTTTGCTGCAAGGTTTTCAAGACTTTCGGGTGGTTGCGTTTGATGCTATCCGGGAGTACAATAGACATAAAAGGGAGTCGTTCCTCTATCTTCCCTTGCAATGTTTCCCTCATGTTTCCATACCTTGGACCGTGATCACTAAAGACGACCAGAATAGTGTTCTTCAAATGCCCCTCCTCGTACAGACCTGAGAGTAGGTTCAATAGATCCTGCTGTACCAGTTCGATGATATTCAGGTCATCGTGGCTGATCTGAGTGAGAAAAGTGAACCCAAACCGTGGCCGGGAACTCTCGTACGCCAGGTGAAACTCCTTCAGGTAATCAAACATCATAACGTGCTTTGGAACGGACCCGTAGCAAAATGTGGGCCCTTCGTCTATTTTGTGCCAAAATGGCCGCATGTAGTGGTCCGTGGGTTGTTCTTTGAATCCGTTTAAACGTAGGTTAAACGCGGCAAAACCGGGCATGTCTTCGGCGAACTGGGTAGCGTATCCTTTCTTCTTGTACTGTTTCCAGATAAGCGGGTACGCGTCAACGAATTGTGAATTCTCCGTGTTTCTTTTGACGTTCGGTAGCTCTGCCTCCGTGTGGCCTGTGAGGATAGGTATGAATGCACCTGCGGTCGCGTCGCCTACTATGTTATATCCTCGAAGCACAACAGCGCCCATTTCTTTTGTCAAATAGTCGTAAACCTTCGGCAATTTCCGCATGAAGTTTAAACGAGAGGTCGAGTCGAAACCGAGCATCAACACACTGACGTCTTGAAAGGGGTTCGGGCTTACTTTCAAAACGGGGCGACTCTGTGGTACCAGTAAGTTTGGGTTTGGGTAGATGTGAGAGAAATACCTTTCGAACTCTCCACACTTCACTCTAAAGAAGTCAGTCGTGACGTTAAAATTCAGCCGAACAGAATCACTCGTGTCCACAACCCTCTCCTCTACTTTGTTTTTGAATACAGCCTCCTCGTCGTCGATTCTGTGGAAGGACCAAAGTTGGCACCTGTCGAACTCCGGGGCGATGTGTTTGTGAACTTTGACCATGTCGACTGTGACAGCGCCATCTTGTATGGTGAACACGTCGTCGCGACCGGTGCAGGTGAAGGGGTTGATATCGTGGAACCAGTGCGCTATTTCAGTACGGTTTAACTCTAGATGTGGTTGCTTGCACACGACTGTTTCCAATTCAGTGGTTGGTGCCACCATATCATCCCGTTTCCACTCTTCGAACGAGTAAACTACTCCTTTAGTGATGACGTTAGTGCGTATATTTAGACCTATGAGATACTGGATATACACCAACACCCCTAGAAGAAAGACTATGGCTATGCACAGTCCTCGTGTAACGTTCTTCAGTCGGCGGCGGTTGACATGTGTAGACCGTAGCACGTTGTACGCCATAGTTTTTACATACGCGACTCTAGTGGGCAAATGCAGAGATGCCAAATATTTTCGTACCTGTGTAACTCTTGGACCATTCTCTGCGGACCGGCTTTGGAGTTTTTCAGTCTCAGTTTTTTTTTCTGACACTCGATCTGGTTAGCCGGTATTTCTGATACTTCGTGGCGAATAATTGAAACCCCTACCGTGGGCTGAGCGGGAGGCTTGGCGGGCGGGCACACTATTACCGCCAGGGAGACCAGGTAGCCACTACGGTCTGTTTCCCCGGGCTCGTATCGGGGTCACTCACCTTCTGTGTTCCCAGATCTTTGCCCTTTTGTTCCCGTCTCATGTTTGTACAACGGCAGGTGATTTGTTCGTCAGAGTGCAAAGAGCAAAACGTACGCGTGGAGGCCGAGGGTACTATGATCTCCAAGCAGATGCAAGGATCGGCTCATTCTCACTGTCCGAGGCTTTTTGCAATATTTATATTTCAATCATAAAACTTGGTATGCCTGAAATATATTGTTTTCCCTCGTGTATCTTCTTCTCCCTCTCCTTCTACTCCAATTTCTTAATTTTTTTTTGGGGGGGGGGGTAAATGACATGACATTTGGCATCATCATTTTCTTTTAGATACAAGGCAGTCTATTAGAATTGTTTTATTTGGCTATTTCAGGCAAAAAAAAAATGTACATTTTGGGATCTGAAGCCCTGGTATTAAATCCGAATGACCTGCAATTTTCTATGGGGATACCTTTTGCACATGTCCCTAGAACGCCATTCACACTTTTGACACACACTACTTCAAAATGGAGTAACATAGGGCTTTTTGGCTATTCTCTTGTTTATTTTAAATATATATCTAGATCGGAGTTCTAGAGCAGACTGTAAGAGACTTAGAATTAGGGAACCACCCAGACAAGCTGAATTTGAATGATGAAATGCTGACTGATGAAAAAATTCGTATCTTTTTTTTTAAAACAATCACTGGGCGAAAAGGCCTCGAATGCAGCCATATGAGCACAGGGATATTTACGCATTTTTAGCAGATACAAGCGGATGCAAACGGATACGGGTAGGATCCGTAAAATATCCTAAATTTGCATTCTTAGGGATCCGGAACGTTTGGATCCCTAAATATCCCAAAATGGGATTTTCCACGGATACCAATTTGTTTCTTTAGGGATTTTTTTGTATTACCTGGACTGTCCGGATCCCAAAGGATTCCAAAGCGGGATTTTTCGGGGATTCCAATTTGTTTCTTTAGGGATTTTTTGTACACCTGAAGTAACCTGGACTGTCCGGATCCCAAAGAATGCAAAAATCGGGATTTTCTACGGATGCGAATTTTTTTAATAGGGATTTTTCCGGATATGCGATAGATCCCCACGTGCAGACGTCGGTATTTTACACGGATGCGTACAGATACAACTTGTGCTTTTCCCGTATCCCTATCGGATGTCCATATACACATTTCTCTGCATTTGCCTCGGATGCAAACAGAGCCGGCGTTTGGATTTTTATTATCCGTACCTCGGATCTTCCCTAATCCTTACGGCATTCTCCCCTCGATACGCCCGTGTTTGATATGTATACGTGCAGATCCAACAAGCAAGTCAAATTAGATAAATGAAGGAATAAACGAATGAATAGATTTAGCCTGAAAGCCTTTATTAAAACTCCGCACATACTGTGTAAAGCAACAACAAAGAGAGAACTAACTATACGAATACATCTAACATTTGTAAAATAAATATTTGCAATGCTAAACAGGTAGAACTAGAACTATAAAGTCTTGCTTCGCCAGGATGATCGTCTCACAGCCCATGTGTTGTTTCAGCCATCATCTGTCTCCTAGTCACACATCAGGATGGTCTTTGTAGAAGTCTGCGCTGAAGACAGTCTTACCCCACGTTCAATCAGTCGCTTCTGACCTACGAAAAAAACAACAACAGAAAACTAAATACAGTGTAAAAATAGCATTTCGGCCAGAATGTGCTAAAAACCGTCTCCCCAGCGGCCCGGATGCCAGCAGCAGGCATTGTTATGTGAGCCAGCATTGACATGTGAAATACCCCCCGTGAGAAGGCCGGAGCTTTTACATATGGGAACAACAGGTCAGATAAAGGCCACAGATGTGAGTTGCGAAGTTGAGTTGCTCTAAACTTTCGTCAGAAATGATCTGAAACCATTATACTAATTAAAAGAGTTTCGAAGGGTTTACTCACTTCTATATGCCGTCAACAGTCTTATGCAGTCGGTTTATGGTCCAGTTGAACTGTTCGTCAGGCGAGTCTGCAACGTGTCATGACATGCCTGGCGGCTTCGTGCCCTCGCCGGGCGATGTCCCCGGTACGTCTCTCGTCCTTGTCTCGACCACTGATAGCTGCTCATAGCGTCCAGTCGGTGTACGGTCAGTTGATCCTAGACTTTGACAATCAATGCCGTGGTTGCTGAACTTATATGCAGCGTATATATATGGACAGCGGGACGATAGAAAGGGGACGCACACTCAAGCAAGCGGTCACTGAAAGTGACCGTTGAGTTTGAATCTCCCCCGGGGTCTTCTCAGATTACCCACAAGGCACTGCTGCTGCCGGAACTGCTCTGCGGATCCAGCAGAAGTGGATCTTTGAGATATGCTCGGTTTTGGTACCGGCGAAGATTATATGTGAACCAACTTCTTGTCTGATACGCAAAGTTTCCAATCAGCAAAAATCAGTACAGTCACGAATCCGAGCAGACAGTTGCTTATGCGACGCGCAAAGGCAACGTTATGTACGTATATTACGGAGTGCGCCCTCTTGTGGCGATTGTAATTTCAACAATTTGCGGATGCGTACGAAAACAAATTCGGATATTTAAGAAATCCCCAGATTACCCACAATTCGCTTCTGCTGTGGAGTGGGCCCGCGGATGCGTACGAAAACAAATTCGGATATTTAAGATATCCCCAGATTACCCACAATTCGCTTCTGCTGTGGAGTGGGCCCGCGGATGCGTACGAAACAAATTGGGATATTTAAGATATCCCCATATTACCCACAATTCGCTTGCTGTGGAGTGGGCCCGCGGATGCA